GATGTTCTTCCTTGTAGAGCCAAAGTCTGGAGAGTCAGTGGCTCATCCTGCTCAGCCACAGTGTGGAGGAGAGACGACCGAGATTTACAGGATCTCTGTGCTGCCACCTGGGGCACAGTTATTCTCTGCCAAGCCTGGACTTTTCTTCTTGATTCTGTGCTAGGCAAATTCACTGTGGTTCAGCAAAGTTGCAGAAATACTTCAGGCGCGCAACATATATCTTAAAATGACAGATGATTTGGATTTAACCAATACTGCCGTGAACTTGCTTTCATTCTGCTAAAAATAATTGAGGGAAGAAAGTGTAGAACGAGATAGCCAGACTTTTAATTGGTTATTGTTTGAAGCCGGTCACGTTGTGCATCACTCCATTCATCATGGAGATCATGGAGATTTATTTCTCAGTTGCTTTTATTATATGGACAATTTTGGTCGCCATACTACAAAAAAGATGTTGAGACTTTGGAAAAAGTTCAGAGAAGAGCAACTAAAATGATCAAAGGCTTGGAGACTAAAACATACGAAGAACGGCTGCAGGACTTGGGTTTGGCTAGTCTAAAGAAAAGAAGAAACAGTATTCATGATAGCAGCATTCCAGTATTTGAGGGGCTGCCACAAAGAGGGCGTCAAACTATTCTCCAAAGTACCAGAAGGCAGGACAAGAAACAATGGTGGGAAACTGACCAAAGAGAGAAGCAACCTGGAATTAAGGAGAAACTTCCTAACAGTGAAGACAATTAACCAGTGGAACAGCTTGTATTCAGAAATCGTGGGTGCTCCATCACTGGAGGTTTTTAAGAAGAGACTAGACAGTCACTTGTCTGAAATGATATAGGTTCTCCTGCTCGATCAGGGAGCTGGACTTAGAAGACTTCCACGGTCCCTTCCAGCTCTATTCTGTTCTATTCTTGCAAAGCCACCCTGATAGAGGATTCAACTGTAGTGGAGGATTTATTTATTATATTCTTAATCTATTCAATAATAAAAGCTTGTTGGCTGGATTATAAACTAAGACCACTGTATAACAATAATTAGCACATTGTAGTACACATCACAAATATAGAAACATCCACATATAAAAAATGTGGCACTTCAGATATTTAAAATGCCAAACAAAACTGTTAAAGTTTTATGTGCATGTAGTGCAGGGTTTGTTTATTTTTGCACAAAAGAATTTTCTAAACTTGGTGCATTATTATTGTTGTTGTTGTTGTTGTTGTGGTGGTGGTGGTGGTGGTGGTGGTGGTTCATTGCATAGTCAGCCAGATGTTCAGATGGACTTGGCATTTTTATCTGCCTATCGAGTCCTTCCCAAGGATCTGGGATAGGCAGATGTGGATGTTTGATGGTGTTACGGATACCGTTGTAGGATGGAAGCTGTTCCAAGTAAATAAGTCTTTTGCAATTGACTGATGGTGAATTTGTCAATGCTGATGGTGTTCAAGGGGTGCTCCAATTGTTTTGGGATTGTACCCAAGGCACCTATTACTATTATTATAGTTCACCCAGTAACTTTTGTTTCCCTCAGATGGATGAAGACAGTATCTTTCTTGATGGATTAACTTTAGAAGTGCTGACAACTAAAAAAAGTAAATGAAAGCTACTTCTTTGTGGGCATTTGTAAATGCTTAGAGATTCACATTATTGCTCCCTTCTCTCCCCACACCTTGAGTAGAAAGGTGAACTCAGAAATCTCTTAGAAAAGCAAAAATACTTTCTCACAGGGATTGGGGAATCTTCAAATAAACATAAGGTTTCCCTACAGTATTCATTAGTTAACCTTTTACCATAGTTAGAGGAGTATGCAGAATAAGATCTTCAGGAATAGGTTTATCTCATCTTGTATCTCAGGAATCTGATGTTTCAGATGTTACATTAGCACATCCAAACATTTAGAAACTGTGAACAAAAGAAGATTTTTCTAAGGAACTCTTCTGCTACATGCTTGCTTATTTTTAATTCAGTCCCTCTATCTCAGATTAAGTCTTTCTCTGCTTTTAACATACTTGTGTTTTATTTTTATTTTTCTGGATTAATGCACTTTGGGTTATTGTGCTGCTTCTCTTTTTACTTTCCTAACTGTTGTAAAAATGACTCCATGTGACTAGTTCCTACATAACACCTACAGCTTTCAATAAATTTGACCCAGTTTGTCAGAAGAGTGGGTGGGGCTTGAAATAGCACTGCGAAGCAACTGGACTCTGTTTTTACAGATAGCCAATTTTAGTTTCCCCGAGAAAACATGTGCAGGCTAAATTAATTTTTTTTTTTCAGTGAGAAACAAAAACCCTCAGAGAGGGGAGACAAGACCAGACACAAGATTAAACAGGGAGAGCACAAGATATTTGTTGGGAATCATTTGAAAGCTTGTGTACGTTTTTAATAACATAAAAGCTTTTTTGCATATGAAACTATCTGCTGTAACAGAGACAAAATGAGATACAGGAAGCAGACCCTCTTGGGTGAATCAGTAGCCATTTTTATAAAGTGCCTTTGAGCCTCACTCAGGCTTTTGATGCTAACCCCATGGTAATTATTCAAGTGGAAAAATATATGGAAAAGAAGCATTTGAAGAGCAGAGGGGCATTCTGGCTAATTTAAAGTTTTCTATTTGTACTACAAATCCAACTGGGGCAGAGATGGTTTAAAATCACCCAAAGGAGAAAGGATGCTGTTTCCTTAATAGGATGCTTGGAACTCTCCTTAGATACTCTGAGGGTCTCGGCATGGTATTCTGTCCACAGTTTTTGTCTTCCTTCATAAATTACATCTCTCTGTCATCAGACAATTGGTGGCAGACTTGGCTTCTGCCTTTCAGCAGCTGCCTGTTGTCAGTTTATATTATAATCACAGACGTAAAGGCCAGAGAGCTAACCCAGCCTGGGTCCTGTTCCAGGTTTGTGCCAAGAATATATTTATTAACTATATTCTGGGCTGCCAGAATTTTCAAGGGGACATGTCTAGCCATGAAGTTGCTTCTTCCCACCCAGTTGCATTTCAGCACTGGGTTGTAACAAGTCAATGAAAATGTTGTGTTTGTGATAATAGTTGGGAATGTCATCAGACTGACGTGGAAAAATATGGTCTTATAGATAGCTAAGTTCCAGCATCTTTCATTGTTGGCCAACTGCATTGGGATTACTGGGAGTTGTAATTCAGTCACATTTGAGGGCCAAATTCGCCACTCTGTTGAAAAGTAGGCGAGACTCAAGGCTCTCCAAGTTCCTGACAAGAGTGCACGTTCCATATGGAAAACCTTGTCTCAGTATGGAGACATCCAACCCAAATGTGAATCACTGAGGTCGAAAGAGTCCAAGGAGAGACATGTGGGAATAAAAGGGAGACTAGACTGTTGGTTTTCCCAAGAAATGAGCATATAGAATGGCCAGAGCAGTAGCCCAGGAAACGCCCAGTAACTTTGGCTGCCTGACTAATTATTCAGTCTGACGTCCAGTTTAGTTTATGCTCCTGCCAGAGACAATGGAGGAATATATGAGCAGAACTGAGTCCTGTGTGCTTGCCCTTGGTTACAGAATAGGGACAAATAGGTCCCCCTAGAACAGGAGTGTCAAACTCGCAACGTCACATGATGTGTCGCAACATATCGTGACTTTTTTTTTCCATTGCTGGCAATGGGGTGGGCGCAGTTTCACCGTGATGCATCCGGCCCACGGGCCGGCAGTTTGACACCCCTGCCCTAGAATAAGAAGACAAAAGGGATGCCAAACTAGACTCTTTGCTACACTCTCTTCTTTTTCCTTTTTGACCCACATCAACTCAAGTGAGCATTTTATATTGAAAGAACAAAAGTATCATATACCTCACAACCTCCCCTCCAAACATGATGGCAGGCCCAAATATCAGTAGTTTACTTAACATGTGTCAAGAACTTCACAACTCATCGTACGCATTAGCTCAGGAAGCTATACAGGAAGCGAGCTGGCTGTGGATGGAAGTCAACGGGATGTAATAAATGGTGTGGGGTCTTACAGTAGAGAGTGAGGAGACCATATCACTTGACTTAATCTCTTCTGTAAGCTTGTTCCATCAGAGTTACTCAAAGCATCTTGCAGTTAAAACAGTATGAATGTGTGTTGTTTATTTTGTTTTGTTTATCCTTCCTCCTACTCCCATAATAGAGAGGAGAGCCAAGGCCGAGGCAAAAGTGTCTTGCCTAAGGCTGCTAGCAAGTTTATGGTTGAGGTGAGAGCTAAATTAGAAGCTTCTCATTTCCTGCTTGTAGCTATTCTACAGCCTTCCAAAGGGTGCCTCATTCCTCTCTTTCACCATTATGCCAAGGTATCTGAAGATTATTCTCCCATGATACATTTGTCCTCCGACTGTCCCACTTATAGTCTTCTCTTCTCTTGCCTACAGGCATGCTCAGGCTTATGAATTATGCCATCCCTATCTGGTACACCCTATAATTTCCAGCACCTCTGCTGGGATGATTAGTATGTATATAGAATCTAGCTGGATAAAAGGTGTATTGGAAACTATTTACATAATTCGGACAATCACCTCCTCAACAACTGAAGCTAGTCTGAGAGCGTCTCAGACGTTCCTCATCACTGGGGATGACAACAAATAAAGAGTATTAATTTGTAAAATAGCTACCTTTCAGGAGTATTTTTAAATCTAACACCTGAGAAGGCCATCTCACCCAGCCGAATATAGGCTCAACCTTTCTCCTTGGAATCTAGCTAGAGCCCCTTGGCCTACAATAAATTAACTAGGTTTCATCAGAGCCACCAGAGTAAACTCAATCTAAGTTCTCTTTCAGGATAAGCTTCATAACATTTACTTTAGCACTAAAGGATGAAATAAGAACAGGGTTGGGGTATTTTTGGTGTTAGAGGCATGCAAATGCTTGCTGTGCCATGGGCTGACAGGATAGTGTGGTTAGGCTTCCAGTTCATCATTACTGTGAAACGTAGGCCTTATAAGTACAGGTACAATGTAGTCACTCACCACAATTCTTACTTATTTTCCCCTGGCAGATGGACCCAGTGCAGAAAGCAGTGATCAACCATACGTTTGGGGTCCCTGTAACCAAGGCCAAACGCCCCATCATCTCCTGCAACGTCTGCCAGATCCGTTTCAATTCTGAGGTAAGTCTTTAGAAAGTCCTGACACTTTGCTCTGCCTTTCAGTGACAAATGATATATAAATACCGGCAGTCCTCAACTTACAACCATTTGTTTAGTGACTGTTCAGAGTTACAATGGCACTGAAAAAAGTGACTTAGAACCAGTTTTCATACTTAACACCGTTGTATTATGCCTATGCTCATGTGATCAAAATTCAGACACTTGGCAATGTGTTTATGACGGTTGCTGTGTCCCAGGGTCATGTGATCACCTTTTGCACATTCTGACAAGCAAAGTCAACGGGGAAGCCAGATTCATGGAACAACTTTGTTACTAACTTAACAATTGCAGTGATTCACTTAACAACTGTGGCAAGAAAAGTTATAAAATGGGGCAAAATTCACTTAACAGCTGTCTTGTTTAGCAGTGGAAATTTAGGCTCAGTTGTGGTTGTGAGTCAAGGACTACCTTTACATTGCTGAGGTCACATGTGCTTTACTTGCCCAAATTCAGTTCTTTAGGAGAATTGAAAATATATAACAATTTGGAGAATGGGTGAAGTTTCTCATGTTGGGTTAGATGATGATTATATTGTAAATTGCAAAGAGGGTTTGATCATTGTCCAGCCTGTGTCTCAAGACATAATTTTTCATACATTTGAATAAACAACATAGTCCTGATTGCAATATAACACAAGTATAAAGAAAACAAAAAATGTGCCAGATAGCAAATCTGCAGATTAGCATATGATCCAATAGAGTGCTGAGTCAGAATATAAGTCTCTATATTTTTGAATGATGGGAAACTCCTTGGTCTGAAACCAAAATAAGATCTTGATGGAGATTCCTAGATACCCCAGAGACATTGTATGAGCAGCTTGTATGCTCAGTCTTCCTTTTCCATGAGGCACATCATTAAATCTTAGTTGTCCCTCATGTTAACTGCCATACCTGATATGAGAAAAGTTAGTGAAGATGCTGAACGAAAAAGCAAAGCAATGAAAGCAATTAGTTTTGATCTCAGATATGATTTCAGAATCACGGCAGATTGTATTCTTTCAAGACCCATGTAAGATAGCAATTCTAAAGATATATATTAAGATCCTCAGAGACGGAGCGAGAAACAAGGATCTTCTTATATTTTGTATTTTTTTTTATCTTATTCCAGTAAAGTTTACATTACCACTTGGGACTGGGTAGCCCTCCAAATGTCAGTGGACTGATGGAATTGAGGTCAAGCACCATATTGAAGGAGACCAGTTTTCTTTCTCTGATGTAGCACAAGACAAATGCAATGTGCTTATCCCACTGTGCCCTTTCCATGCTCCTGTGATGTGATATTGATTGATTGATTATGTTTCATCAAGTTGTTGTCAATCCTTAGAGATTACATAGATAGATTTCCTCTGTTATGATCTGTCCTTAACCTGGTTTTTTCAGATCATGATGTGATGTAGATATGGGGAAAATGCCGAAGGTGATGACATTGTCATCATTATTTTATTTTTATTGTTGTACATATCAGAAAGAAAGGAAAGAAAAACATTGAATGGTTCAGCTCTGTATGTTTTGGTAATGCTTATTTCCAGTCTATCTATGTCACGATAAGTTAGAATTGGTAGGTATTGTTAAGGTTAGAAGACAAGAGAAAGTGAATAGCCTCTGAGTTGCTGGGTTCTTCTCTTCCAGAGAAGGAACAAGTTGACATTCTCTTACTTCTTATAAGAACTGAATGTATTGAAGCAGTTGCTAAAATGGCAAAGTCCATCTTAAGAAGCTTTAACAGAAGTAAACCATGCAACTCACAGACATAATTGTCCTACTCTGCTCTGGTCAGAACCCATATGGACTACAGCAGTGATGGCGAACCTTTTAGAGACTCAGTGCCCAAACTGCAACCCAAAACCTACTTATGCATCGTTGGGTGCCGAATGGGTGTGGCCCATTGGCTGGGTATGGCCAATTGGGTGGGTGTGGCCCATTGGGTGGGCGTGGCTGCGGTGGTAACGGCAGACTGGGTGGGACTAAAAACTTCAATTCCAACTTTGCAAGATCTTTTTCCCCCCCACGAGAAGTTGAAATTGACTGATTGATTGAACCTTTTTTTTTTTTGCACACGGCAGCGGAGGCCTAAAGCGAAAAACCCAGCTAAAGGCCTAGGACTGGGGCGACGGCGCGCATGCCCACAGAAAGGGCTCTGTGTGCCGCCTCTGGCACCCGTGCCATAGGATCGCCACCACTGGACTACAGTATGTCCAATTCTGGGCACAATAGTTCAAATAGGATGATGATAAATAGAAGCAAGTTCAGAAGAGGACCACTGAAATGGATTGTGGTTTGAAAACCAAGTCTTTTGAGGAGTGGTTAAAGGATCTGGATACATTTAGATGAATGTGGGGGTGATATGATTGCAGCCTTCAAATATCTGAAGGTTTTTTGTACAGAAGAGGGACTAGACGTATTCTCTATTGACTCAAGAGATAGGAATAGTATTAATAGATTAAAATCACTAGGAATCAGGTTCAGGCTATACATCAAGGTAAAGTTCCTGACTGTAAGAGTTGTCAGTGGAAGCCAGGTTGCCACATGACATGCCAGAGGTCTTCAAACAAGATTGTTAGTTATCTGTAAGTGGCTCTTGTACTGATCAAGAGGTTGGACTAGATGCCCTCTAACACAATTATATCATAGAGATGGAATTGACCTTAGAGGATATTTAGTGAAATCACGTGAAATCATATTGTTCTGATCTTTTGTACTATTAAAAATGTACTATTAAAAACTATAAAAAAACTGAGGTCTAAGAAAAGAGAACTGCTAAATATTATTAAAATATGCAAAAAGAAAAAAAGAAAGAAGAAATTGTAGTTAAAACCTTTCTTCTCCTGAAGAGTAAAAGGCTATTAAAAGATATTTATCTCTTGCTACCAAGACTATAAATGGGAGTATTTTCATTCAAGGTAAATCTGGAAAGGCTTCATTTTTTGCTTATCCGTATTAGACAAGCTACCACTATAATCATGTTGTTTCAGATCTACTTTCCGAAAATAGCCACAAATCGGGTCTGGAAGAAACAGGGAAAATTAACAACATATTGGGATGGGGATTTTGCATCTTTATTAAAGAAAGCATCAATATACAACCCAAGTACAAGTACAAAAGCAAATTAAAATAGAAAAATGAATGATGTACAGCATGAATTTATGTATAGAAAAGGGTAAACTACATGGTGACTACAGAATATTGTTTTCGCATCAGTCACAAAAAATGATTTGTGATTTTCTTCTTTGAAAATTGGATTTGTCTGTTTGTTTGTTTACTTCTTACTCTTAATTTACCATTTTGAGATTTCCTAGTGATCTCCCATCAAAGCATTAGCCAGGTCTAACCCTGCATAGCTTTTTGGTGATCAGCCAAGGATGCCTAAGTGCTACCATCTTCTGCTGTATTCATGAACTTAAGGAGAAATAGAAATATTGTAAGTGTCTATATCTAAAATTTCTATCCAAGATGACATTTTTATAGATGAAAATAATCTACTAGAAGAACATTATTAGTGTAGATAACTCATAGGTTCAGGTTTAAATGAATGTGTTCTTCTTTGTCATAATATTCCTTAAAAGGAAAGGGGACAAAGGATGCTAGTGTCAAAGGAAAAAAACCAAATTAGTTTGAAAGCATTCCTAGAAATTTATTTGGGTGTTCGACTTGGTCTAATGGTTAAGGCACCAGACTAGAAAGCAGGAGATTGTGAGCACTAGTCCCACCTAAGCCATAAAAGCCAGCTGAGTGACCTTGGGCCAGTATAAATACTGGCCTAGCCTGGTACAAGATTGTAACAAGCTTCAGAAAGGTTATAAATGTGTTGCCATTCTCGACGACCAGCACTCGTAATGTTAATGGGTTTGGGATCTCCTATTGCTTTGTCCTTTTTTTCTTGTATAGAGCCAGGCTGAAGCACACTACAAGGGGAACCGGCACGCCCGACGAGTAAAGGGAATCGAAGCAGCCAGAACGCGGCAGAAGGAATCGGGACCCCGGGAGGGAGACAAGCCAGGATCTGCAGGCAGTCCATCCTCCAGCACTGGAGAAAGTGATTCTGACCGCACAGGTTCTAAAATTCTTCTTTCATTTCAAGTGCTCCCTAAAATCTAAGGATTTCTTGAAGAACATGGGGGGGGGGGTTATGGGTATGTGGGGAAGTGTTTGAGAGAGAGTTCCTGTATTCTCCAAAAATGTTGAACCGATTTTCAAGACTTCTCTGTGAATCTGTTGCACCAGAATGTACTCCAGAACTTCTAAGTTCCAGACTGATTTGTTTTGGATTTTAAGAAAATAAATAGGATTCCCAGGCCAGAGCATAAGAAGAGAAGAGTTTTCAGACCAGCCCTAGGTGCCTGTTCTCTTCCCTTGCCAGAGGGTCTATGACAATTCACCGTGGCCAACTTGCCATGGCCAACTCATCACAGCCAACTCACCATTGCCAACTCACCATAGGACAACGCATTGCTGGACAAAAGTTATACTAATAACAAAAAAAATGGTGGAATAGAATCATTAAAGAAAGGATGGAAAAGGAGGGACAGAATGAAATGTGACTGAAAAAAATTAAAATATTTGTTTTTATTTATTTTAAATAATTAAAAAGAATTGTTAAATTGTTCCTCAGTGAATTGTCTCATGGCAAGTTAGCCATGGTGAGTTGGCTGCCGCGAGTTGGCTGTGGCAAATTGTCCCATTCCCCTTGCAGAAGGGCGGATGAGCCTTTTCCTCTTCTGCCGTGGAGCCAGTTCTGGGGAAACTAAAACAAACATTGATAATGTTGACTAAGAAAGAAATACAGGGCTCTGGGCACTACCCACATTCTGCTTCAATTACAGAGTTCAGTAAGACCTTAGCTGTATTTTGCATCAATTACAGGGTTGAGGGTGAAACCTTTGTGCTAAAGGGAGGGAGGGGGAGGTTAGATCTTACATCCTGTCTTTGACGTTGTGCCTGTCGTCCTGATGCTGGGAACCTGAGCTGCCTTCTCAGTCCGAGTGACCGCTGAGCAAGCGGGTAATTAAATCGCATCTAATTAAACATTGATTACGGCTCCAATGGCTGGTGGAAATGGAGCTGGGGCTGCAGCCAGCATACTTGCCCAGGGAACTCTGCCTCCCAGGTTCAGAAGATGGATTTTGGAGAGAGTGACTAGCCTCATCTATGCATTTCTGATGCTATAGCCTCCACGGGATTGGGGCTAAGCAGCATAGCCAATCTGCTAGCTTTGGGGGCAGGGGATGAAGGAAAAGGGAAGAAGGCAAGGGAAATGGGGGTGGGGAAAACCAACTTGTTAGGTCTAACAGCTGTTTTTATAAATACGAGGCAAGCTGTTTTGTGGACAGCAGAGGATTAGAGGAAGTGTGTCATCCCACATAGAGGCTTTTTAAAATATCAGGGCCTTTTCCAAGGATGGAGGGAGATCGTGTGCTCTTTCTCTATTGTGTACAGGTAATCCTCGTTTAGCAATTACAATTGGGACCAGCAACTCAGCTATTAAGCGAAGGGTTTGCTAAGTGAAACTGTGACTGTGCTTTTGGATCTTACTTCAGCTTTCCTTTCTTTAGAGACCTGCAAAGGTCATAAAGGCAAGGATTGGTCACCAAGTTATTTTTTCATCACTGTCGTAACTGTGAACAATCACTAAATGATACCTATTTCTATTATCCTGTATGAAAGTTACGTATGATTGCAGTACTTTAAAAAAAATCACCGAATTGATAGGCAAAATCTGAGGCATCACTTGAAGGGGTCTGAGAATCTGCAAAAAATGGCAAATTCCATATTGAAAACCATTGGAGAAAGATTTGAAAACTGAGCTGTCTGCATGGCAACACTTTGTACAAATTTCAATAGTTTCTATCATTTGCATCACAAAAAGAATTTGTGTATGTGTGTGTGTGTTGAGGCAAGAAATGTGGTCGCTAAGAGTCAATACAAACTTGATGGCACGTAATTAAGATGAAGAAAAGTAGAAGCAAAATAATTAAGCCATTAGAGCACATCTGCAAGGGAAGTTCTAAATTTGGAGCGTTTTCATTCAAGAAAGTACAATTGAAGGGAAGCTTTGAGGGAGTATTGTAAAATTATGCATGATGGGACTTTTCCATGATGGGAAAAGGAATGTTTTTCTCTCATCATACAAGAAAGTGAGATCATTCAGAGAAACTGACCAGAAGGTGATTCAGGAGAAAGTTGCTTTAAAAAGGAAGATAGGATTGCCCCCATGTGTGGCTTTTGGGGTATTTCTCAGGGATTTGGTCCAGTTTTATGTAAATAAAATATATACTTGCCTAGATGCTCTTACTTTGAAAGACAAGCTTGAAAGCAAAAACGACAGTGCAGGAGCTAAAAAATAAACATATCCAGAAGTCAGTAGTCCTGTAAATGCAGAATTATTTTAAATGGAAGTTTAATCTGCATCCCAAGTTACCACCATGACTTGGTGAGGAAATTATGGTTGGGTAAATTTGCCCATTCTTCCTTTGCTTGGGAAGCAGTTTTAAAAGCAAATTTTAAAGGCACGTTTCTGTTATGCCCTTTAGCCCAGAAACAGGACAAAGATTAGAGGATTTGTCCCAAAACACTTCTGATGGTGAAAGGTAGGCTTAGAATAAGTGACCAGCAAATTGTAACAGCTATGCCCTGAAAATGTATAGAAAGCAAAAGATACCAGGAGAAAATATCCTACTGGAGAGAGATTTCTGACAGTTAAATAGATTGTCCGTTGCTAAAGGTATATATTTGAAGCTAATCAGCTGTGGGGAATACTGCAGTTGTGGATCTTGTCCTAAACTGGATTAGACTAAATCAGCCATCTCCAACTTTGGCTCCTTCCAAATGAATGGATTTCAGCTCCCTGTATTCCTTGGTTCTTAAGGGCATTGCTGAGAATTCTCAGGGATGAAGGTTGCATGTGGGAAAGTCACCTAGGCTGGGGAAGGCTGCTCTAGATGCTCTCTAGAATCTCTTCCAATCCTAAAGGTCTGTCAGAGAGCATGTCCCAGGTTACCATGTAATCAGTGGCGACCCTCCAGAGATATCTGGAGCAAAACTGTCAAGAAGATAAAGGAGCTTTTTAAATTTAAGTAACTACCATGGTACGTGATACCCTCAGGTTAGTCCACGTTCTTCCCTCTCTATGTGTATATGTTGTTTTCTCCAGTGGTTTACCAAACTAGTTAAAATATGCAAAATAGAACCAGAGTTTTGGAGCCACATGAAACAACTAATTAAGACTGATCCATTCACAGCAGTAATTTATGCCTGCCTTAAAAAAAAGTTTTTTCCCCCAAATGCCTGAACACCACCAGTGAATAAACCCAGCAAGGCTCTCTAAGGATATTTTTTTATTTCTATGAAGAATTGGTTTTCCAACATTTCTTGTATTTGAAACATCAAGACTTTTGTTTATAAAAAAATTTAAAGCAGAGTTTCATCATCCAGATTTTAAAATGATGGTTGGATTTTGCCTTTGAGTGCAATTCTGTTTCACTCATACAGCAAGATAGTGTTTATCAGATAAAGTTGTCCCTCAGATATTTGAGGGAGGAATCCTAATTTTGAAAAGGTTCTGTCCAGGCCATCTTTGGTTAAAAAAGGTTCAGACAAAAACTAATGAGAAAAACGTCTTGCAAAAATGCTGAAGGCTCCTGTCAATCAGAATAGAATATCTCGGGCTAAATCAATCAGTAATATGATCTGTCATAAGTTAGCTTCTTATAAAATGCATGCCTTTCCTTCTGAGAGATCTGGAAGTGTGACACATCGTCTGCTAACTCTCCAGCTATGCAGAAGAGCTAGAAATGAACGCAGACTGAAACACAATAGCCAGAGTTCAGATGATGGATTGGATGCCCTGCATGGTTGTGTCCATCTCTTGAAAGAATCCCAATGGAGAACAAAAAAGATTGATATTTCAAACACTTCAGGGTGAATCTGTCTTAGAGATAAAGAATGGTATGAATGGGGCTCATTGAACAGAAGGCCCATTTCTGTGTCTTTCCAAGTGTACGGCCTTGCTGTCAACATGGAGCTCTTCCTGTATCAAAACCATTGCTCTTCAGGGTGAAGACATACAACCTGTGCATCATTGTTTGAGTTTGTGTCAGTCAGAACATCTGAACCCTGTGTTGTAAGCAGCCTGTGCTTCTATCTGTACCTCTAGAACCATAACAGGCAACAGTTGGGGCTTATCAAAACAGAAGAAAAAGGTGGCAATGTCCTAATATCACAGAAATAAGAAGGTCCTGGAGCAGGGAATTGCATTTCATCTGGCCAACGTTATCCTTACAACTTATTTCTTTAATTTTCACTAGAAAACAGCAGGAAAAAACAAACAATTTTTACCAGGTCACTCCTAAATTTCAACAAGTTGCCCAGCTCTGTTGAGGAGCATGGGGGCCATTTGATGACATCAGACTAACCTAATCTGCTTCTTGTGACCCCGTTTCTTATTTTGAGCCCAAGGAAGGAATCTGATACTTGTAAGTCCAGCATCCTTCTTGTATGAGAGTGCCAGCTGTCTCTTTATGCATGGCTGTTTCCCCAGTGAAATTTCGCTCAGAACTAATGTAAGCTCCCTCCTGCTGTTTGGTTCAGCAAAGGTCTCCTCATTTTTGGTTTTATGTGTTTTAAAAGTGATACACTGTTAAAAAAACAACAACCATAATGTTTGATAACAATGGGAGCTGTAGTCCCTCCTAGCTGGATGGCAACAGTTCAAGGAAAGCTGGATTTGAGGATCAGATCTGATCTGGGGTCCCTGATGCAAACCTTTACCTGACCATCAAACTCAGCAGCGCTAGTCTAATCTACCTTACAAAGCTATGGGGAATCATTTATACCGCTTTGAAGGGAAACAGGCTAGAAAATGTATTTGTTGGTTTTCCTAAGTGTCCATTCACCAGTGACTGGTCATGTGTACCAGAAAACAATATTTTAAAACCACGCACACAAAGACAGTCATATGAGGGCAAAAAAATATATGCTAACATACCTTGGTACAATCTCCATATCAAATTCACATCCCATCCTAGCTCAGAGCCTGGGGAAACAACCGGGTCTTCT